GGTAAGTATATACAACAAGATGATGTCGTAATAGGCATCCAATCAGCTAATTGTTACTGTGCTGTTTATGCAGTTATTGTCCACTTGTCATTTACAGGCGCTCTGTTATTTTGTATGATACATGCATGTGCTCAGTATTCTATAAATACTAACTCAAATTTACATGTTCACATGGATTACTCACGATATAGAGAAAATTGTATTGTGGCATAATTTATTATTGCCACACCCAATATGATGCCTAAACCCAAACCAGGCCTGATATTCATCACAGACTGCTTCCAAAAGAAAAAAAAGATGTAGCACACACTCTCACGCAGCCAAACACCCTCAATAAATCCCAGGGCAGCACAAAAGCTGTCAGCGGACCTCCGCTGAATAGATTAATAAGATTTCCATAATTAGGCAGGCCTTTGACAATAGGATCCCTCTCCTTTGTCTCAGATCCAACAGGATTGTCAGGCTAAGGGGACGTCTGCTGGACTGGCCGTCCCCAACAATGGAGGCAGAGACAGTAAGGCGGTCAGTGGAAACATCTGTCTCCCCTGCCATGCTTAAACCTGTGCGGAACCACCACTACAAGTCCGCTGCCTCACACAAAGCAGTGGCCAGGAGCCCCCGTGTGGACAATGGGCCAGTCTGGTGGAAAGCGCTCTGCTTTTCTTAATCTGAAAGCTGCGCCTCTGTTTACTTAACTGCCTTCCCATGTTGATTATGCTCATGGAGTGGCCATCATGTGACCCAGGCTGGTCATATGGCTATCTCTGTGTGTTTGGAGAGGCATATGTGGAGCTTAAGTTGAGAGAGAGAGAGAGAGAGAGAGATGGGGGTAAAGCTTGGCATAAATGATGCTTGCTTGATCTATGGGATTTGGAATTGTACTATAGAATGTACTCCAGTGTTATTCAACTTAATCTCATTCTACTGCATCTGTAGTATATAGTTGATTACCACAGACAGTAATTTTCACAAGTTTTTTTTTTTCATACTTAGAAAAGAACAGAAAATCCGCTGACTTGAAACTTACTTTGAATAGAAGCCGCTGGGCAGATGCTTCAGCACTGAGGTTGAAAAATGCTCAAGTTTTCCTTTAATGCTATAGGAGAACTTGTGCTGTAAAATTACTCATATATCAATTTGCAATATTTTCGTAATGATATTGGTGCTCATTTCTTCATTTAGCAATACCTTAATTCTCTACAGTCCACCCATGGTGTCCATTCTTCCTCCTCTCTCCATTCTAATCTCACTATTTGTTCCCCAGGGCTAGAATAAATGAATCTGTGGAAGGGCTATGATTTAATCAGGAGTGTGGATTAAACCCTGGCCAGATTAATGTGAGATCCTTTTGCTGGGGTGTTTTAAACCCCCAGTCTCAAAAGCCTGGATGTAATTGTGAGCCACAGTCTTGCGTCCGGTCCATTTAATGCTGGATGGAAGAGCATTTAGCGAGGTTAGAGGACAGAAGGGAGCTGTGACGTGCAGTGGATGAAGGTAGGAATGTGGAAAGAGGCATGTTCTTCATCTTCATGTGAGCAAAGATATCTCCTCCCATCCCAAATGGCTCATCCATGCTGTCCAGTTAGAATGAGGAGAGGGTGTGTGGGGAGGTGGGAGAGTGGAAAGCAGGCGCTCTGATCAGGCGTGTTTGTATGTGTGTATATGTTTTGTTTTGTACTTTTTCAAGGCAAAAATGCTCTGACTTCGTAGGAAAAAAGCAAACTTTTTAAAGTGCGTCATTTTTGAGAAAAAAGTAAAACGTTTCGTTTTGGTTACTTACATATACATATAATACAAATTGTGTATATTATATATATATATATATATATATATAGATACTTGGACATACAGTATATAATGCATATGGAGCATATTAAAACAAAATACTATTGGAATGCATGTATGACCACACTTTCTAATATTGTACACAAACAAACCTGTTTGTTGTGTTTATATGTGAGCCAGTGTGCATGGCTGCATGTGTATTGATGGAGAAGACAGCAGTTTGGCTGCCTGACTGAGTTCCTTAATGTCACGCCCTGTCCACACACACACACACACACACACACATGCATGCACGTGCACACACACTGGTCAGAGCGTCTGCTGTCCACTCTCTCCCCTCCCCTCCCTGCTGCAGGTTTTATGAGCTCCCCTGGGCTGCTATCCATCTCTGTCATGCACTGGCCCCATTATTGGGCTCCGCACAGCCCCTGCTCTGACCACAGCCTGCAGATGGGAATGGCCTGCAGGACGTCTACTGTTTCTGCAGCCTGGACAATGACCTACGACTCAAAGCTCAAATCTGCTGCAGCCATACGCTTCACACTGTCTTGCTGGCTTTTTGTGCTGCATTGAATTGAGTTTATTTAAATGTTTCCAGATGAATTAAATGTACTACATCGACGCTGTTAAGGAAGTAAACTGAAAGACAAAACTGTGTTGATGTAACACATTTTATTTATATGGAAATCACGTACACATATTAATTAAGTAGATTCAATGCATTACTGTTTTTCAGTACTGCTTGTTGTATCTATTCTCGTAAAAATAAAGGTTGTAAACTGGTTCTTGGCTGGGACGTATTGTTCTAGAAAAACCTTGTTATAGAACCTTTTCATTATATGGAGATTCCTTAAGCTTTTTTTGTAACATCTAAGTTCAGATATGGGAAACTTAAAGCCCTTGGCTTAAAGAAGGAGGACAGGGTAGTCCAGTGGCCATCTGGAGAGAGCGAGCAAGAGAAAGAGAGAGAGGGGGGGAGCGGGGGAGGGCAAAGTTTGGGAGAAAAATTGAAGGAGAATGCAGTATATGAGCCTGACTTTTGATTTAAATGGCAATAAAGCAGCAACCCCACATACACTGGCAGAAGTATGAATAATGAATCATCACTTTCTCCTCTAAAGGCAAAGATGTGCTGCCTGTAATGAAGACTTGTGATTTTTTTATTCTTTTACCTCTACACTTTCCCTCTCTCTCACCTCAGGCCAGATTGTGACAGTTCAATAATGCCAAGCTATGCCAGGAATTTCAAGCTAATCGCTCTGTGAAGAGGAAGCTAAACACCTTCATGATGTGGCTGTTTTCAGTGTCCTAACCATTCCAAAAACAGCCCTCTGATGAAGTTCTCCTCTTTAATTACAAGAAGCAAGTTAATCTTACCGAACGCAGCATCAGTGATACATTCAGTGACTATTTTGTCCCCTATAACCCTATAACTAGAGGGTACTCCATCTTGGTCATATTAAAATGGATCAGCATGTGGAACCCGGAGCATTCTGTGTGTGACCATGTTTCCTATCACTGTATAAAAGAAGTTCTGTGCTGCCTTTATTGTTGAATGCATGATAGTTTCTGAAAGATCTTATGTTCATTTGGACAAATTATTTACATGCTCCTCATGTTCATCTGAAGTTTGTACCTGAGGAAACTGATCTGTCCTCACATGACAGTCATGCTTCGCTCCAACTAAACGCAATTATGTGCGAGAATTTGGTTTGGGTGTGCTGGGAGAGAGATTTCTGTTTTGTTTTTCCTCCTGGTCATTACTTTATTAGTCCCTCTTTCATCCCTTTAGCATTAGGGCAGCATAATGAATTGCAGGGTATAGAAACGCAGATAGCCGGAGGAAAAGCCACTCTACGCGGCCAATGTTTCATGAGAAGAAGCCAATGAATAGCACAACTATTCTGTTCTGCTAACCCATCCCCCTTTTCTCTCCACCACTACCCCCTCTCTGTGTCCTGGCTGCAGAGGGCTTTTAGAGAATTGCTTTGTGGACAGACTGAGGTGGTGGTGGGGAGGTGTTCAGTGAAACATGCGCTGGGTGATAACAATAGCTCCTCTGGGAAGGCTGCAGATGCTAGCACATGGTAGTGATGTGCTCTAACTGGGAAAGAACAAATCCACCCCTTTTTACTCACAGGGGAATACACAGATACTCTGTCCATTTGTGCGTGTGTGTGTGTGTCTGTGTGTGTGCGCGCATGGACCACTGGACTAGAAAACAAGTAACTAGCAACCAGTCTTCAGTAGGGCTGAGCAGTATAAAAATCTCCTATCTTACTACCATTGTTGTTATACAGTCTGAATAGAATAAATAACCATATGATATGGTTTAATGAGGTTGGGACATTAAAGGGAATTCCACAGAGTTTCCAAAATTTCTGCGTAATTCAATGGTTAAGATGTAAAGAAAGTCATTCAGAGCGGCTTGATGTGGAATGTTGCATTGTAGTGATGCTGACTCTTTTCTATTTACAGTGGTGGTGATAGGAACCAGGGGTTGCAATATCTACGACACAAATATAGCCATTTTATTTTACTATCCAAAGCGACTAGAGAACATATACGTCTCCCGAGTCCGTTTTAATGTTATATGTTACACTAATGGTAAAATAGAAGTAAATCCTAAGATTTCACTGCTGTGAACAGGTCTGACTTGGTAAGGTTCTCTAGAATGGAACATTTTACATTGAACTAATCTGAACAACTTTGTTTATATCTTCATTTAATTCTGCAAAAACATTCCTCTTTAAATAAACTGTCTGGTATAGTGCATAACAGCTACAGAAGCTTGTTTTGTCACAATTAAATATGAAAGTAGGCATGCATGTATAAAATGCAAAAATAAAAACAAAACATTTTGTTTATAATCAAAAGAAAGTAAAATGATTTGACTGTGAGGTCAGTGATATGCAAAGCAGTGTGGAAAACGATCACTTCATTGTTATTTCCAAAGCACAGTGTACAGAGTAATCTGTAGCCAACATCTTCTGAAAAGTGATTTGAAATGTGTTTAATTTCGTTAATTGATGTTATTTCATTTAGAAAAACAAATTAGTGTTTAGAGAGATTATAATAACTCTAGCACACAAATCTCTGCTTAGCTCTGTCTCACCCAACCAACAGCCATCCACCTTGCTCAGTATATTTGATATAATCTTTTCCCCCTCAGTGTTTCATGTTGTGACATGATTTGTGTTCGTCTGTGTATCCAGCAGGCCTGTTGAAGATGCACTGGAACCCGGAGCATGCCCAGCCCCTGAGCCAATGGCCTGAGCAGCATTTGGACGTGTCCTCCACGACCTCCTCTCCAGCCCACAAGTCTGAGCTTTACCCCCACCGAGGCCGCGGCTCGTATAGCTACGCCTGGGCCAACGATGACATCTCGGCTTTGACCGCGTCCAACCTTCTCAAACGCTATGCCGAGAAATACTCGGGTGTTTTAGACTCGCCCTATGAGCGACCAGCCGTGGGTTCATACCCTGAGCCAGGGGCCTTTGGGGCCCTTAATGGGAGCCAGAAGAGTGAACTAGAGCCCTGGCCTCTTACGCACAGCACTGATGTGGCTTACCCTTTAGTACCCCCCTCATCCCATGACTCCCTGACTGGCCCCAAGGTCGCGCCTACGTCCGTGGGACCACCTGTGTCAGCGGTGAGCAGCAACCTTTCGGACTCGGGCTACAGTGGGAGCAGCTCCTGCAGTGGTCCAAACTCCAGCGAGTACCCCCCCAGCTATAATGGCACCTACCTCTCCTCAGGCTATTGCCCCCAAGCAGGCTCAGCACTTCCCTCTGCCCCTCTACATGCCCTGCAGTCCACTCCGACTCTCGTGCCTAGCTACACACCCTCTGCTCCTGTCTACAACTACCCCCCTAGCACCTATCCCCACCAGACCAGCCTCGCTCCAACCTACAGCCACCCCACAGCCCCGTACCTGCCCTCTGGCATTGCCGCTCCTACCCCTATCACCTCAAGGCCCACGGTAGTGGGGGGCAGTTATGGCTACCAGAACAGTGGCATGGGCAGCTCCGAGCCTGGGGGCTCCCTGAAGAGGAAGGCATTTGAGATGAGCCTCGATGAAGAAGATGGAGACAGCTCGCGCTACAGGAAGTATGGCTATGACCCTTTGAAGTCTGGTGGTGATTCACCGTACAGTGTAGGTGATAAAGCGGAATGTCGCGGAAATGGCTTTGTGGATCCCCAGGCCTTCAAGCCTAGCAAACCCTCATCCCAGTCAGGCCTGGGGGGCGACGAGGTGGGCAAGTACAGCAGCCTGAAGCCCCTGCTTTCCCCACCCTATGGAGCGGCAGGTGATTACAGCCCCCCAGCACCTATGACAGGAGAAAAAGGAGTGGAACATGGGTTCTCCCACAAATGCACCCCTGAGCAGTTGAAGAGTGCAGACCAGCGCCTCCTTGAGGTGGTGAATAATGAGTTGCAGGACTGCACTCCTGCACCGCTGTGGACGGACCTGGCAGGCCACGGTCGTGTCAAAGATGCCATCGAAGAGGACCTTCTGTGGCCAGTGTTGCGCCCTGATCCGGCTGTGCGCCCGCCCAGAACTGTTCTGCTGTTTGGCCCTCGAGGAGGGGGCAAGACCACGCTGGCCCGCAGCATTGCGTCCCAGCTGGGGGCTGTCTTCTACAAGCTTAGCGGTAGCACACTAGCATCCAAATGGAAGGGCGAGGCAGAGCAGCTTCTAGCCACTCTGCTCTCGGTCACTGTGGCCCGTCAGCCAGCTGTGGTACTGCTGAGCGAGGTGGAGGCAATGGCGGAGGAAGAAGGTCTCAGGCAGCATCTGCAGGCTCACCTGGAGAAGACCCAGCGCGGCCAGGCCGGTCCATTGCTGGTGGTGTGTTCCACAAGGCGGCCAGACCTGCTGAAGGAGCCTCTCCTCCGCTGTATGTCCAAGCGCTACCATGTGGGCGTGCCGGACTTGGGCGCACGGAGGCAAGTGCTGCTGCAGGCGCTGGCGCCACAAGGCTGCGGTCTGAGCGAGAGAGAACTGGCCGTGGTGCTGCAGCGGGCAGAGGGCTTCTCCATGTTGGAGCTACAGCAGCTCTGCCAGCAGGCCCTGGCTTCAGCCTCAGCCTCAGCCTCTAGCCAAATGCACGGCCTCTCCGGGCCCCTCTCCTCTTCGCCGGCCTTCAAAGACTTCGAGAGCGCCTTCTGCAAGGTACGGCCACACGGCACCCCCAAAGAACCTGACACTTGTATGGAATGGAGCAAGGTGTACAGCCACTGAAAGACAAGTCAGCCACTGGATCGGGACTGCTTAATCGTGTTTTCGGTGTTGAGGAGTAAAAACCTCGTAAATCTTTTTGTTTTCTTTCTCTTTTTTTGTAGCTACTTACTTGCAGCCAAAAAGTGGGGTTGTGTTGGGAGACTACATTTTATTGGTGACGAAGCATTTTGGATTGAATGCTTTTTTTGTTTGTTTTTCTTGGAAACATGCCGTGGTGTGTTGTTTTTCTATAAATATACATATACTTTATTTTTTTTCCCCAAAGAAATTAAATATTAGGCATTTCTTGGAGGGGGGGAGGCAATTGTTAGTTGCTGGCTTACATGATAGGAAATCTGAAATATATTCTGGAGGTTCACTAGAATTCCAATTAGCCTTGATTCTGGAATGAACCCAGATAACGTAGGTTTTGAGAAATCCCCCCATTAACTGCAATTTTCAGAACCCTATTTATTGTCTGTCCACTCCAATGGCATTATATTTTTTATTATTATGATTTACTCTAATTTGATCATTTGGTGATAAAGGGCTTGGGGTATATCAGAGCATACAGAATGTTTTTGACCAAAAATGATCAAAGAAGCATCATATCGCTTTTTAAATAATATCTGCCCTATTGACAGCATTTTACCAAAAGGCAACAACATTTATGCAACCTGTTTAAAACCAACAGTATTCTGCAAGAGAATGAGAAGTTGTTAGACCGTGGTCATATTGTGTGCACTTTGTCAAAGCGCGGTCTTTTTAAGAACAGTGTATGCATTGCTACCCAAATAGTATTAAGACAATATGAGATGTAAGAAGTAAGACGAGAGAGACTGGCCCTTACTGTCTGTACAATCTTCTCTGTACACTGTACCAAACAAACAAAGAAAAAGCAAGTACATCTAATATGGCTACCACAGAGACCACGGTGTTCTGGGGGTATTAAGCCCATAACCCTCAACCACGAGTTCCTGTAGTTCATTTCACATTCCTCATCCAGTTTCCGATTTCCTGCTTTGGACCCCTGGAAAAAACACAAGAACAAGAAGAATGGGTTCCTCAAACGTCTAGTATTCTCTTCTACTTACTCTTTTGTTTTGTTTTTTTTTCTTAGTATATGTAGTCTTGTTTGAAATACTCAGGAAGAATTTCTTTACCTCAGAAATGATAAAGAATGTATGTAACCTTAGGGTCTTAGTAGTGAGTTATGAGGTGTTTCGGAGGTGAGAGACAAACCTGTCACAGACCTGTACACACACTGCAGCTGTGGTATTACCTCATAGGAGAAACTTGAAAATGCTACAAAGACTAACATTGAATGTAATTCAGGTATTTCAGAGGATATCTGATGCCATAAAAAATCCACATTTTGTAATTCTATATAAATACATATTTCCCTCATCCTTTCCCTTTATTTCTGATGTAGATTTCGATGGAGTGATGATTGTCTTCATGAAATGTTATAGTAGATGGCAGACCAAATGCTACATTTTGTTGGACAAACTGTTTCGAACACCACCATGTTCACAACTTATTCCTTCCCTGGTGCAAGATGAATCTGTTTTAATGAATACAGGTTCTTGAAGAAATGGTTCAGTGAGAAATCAAATGTACACAATTTTCCACTTACTTCAGACGTGGTTGATGAGTCAAATCACAAAACTTGGCTTCTTTAGTGCTCCAGCTACAAGGCTAACCTTGCTAACAAACACCAGACATCAATAGTCACCCAGAACTTTTCTGTAAATACACCCACAAAACTTCTCTCAACCAGCTCAGAAGGCATCCAGGTCTGCGTTAAGGTTGCTCAGGTTTAGGACAGTATGGCTTACTGTGAACTAAGAGAATGAACTTCACTGTGTTGCTGAATGCAGACATATGAACTCTAGCTTAAAGTAGTGATTTCTGTTGTTTCTATTTGTAAATATTTATCTTCAGATAGAAAATTCAAGGTTAACAGTTATTTATAAAAGGAAACAACAGATATTGCAGACATACTTTGTAGCATGCACGTGATGGGGAGTCGAATTCAATATATCTGTCGTCTGAAGTGGCTGCCCCCAGCGTTCAGCTACACTGGGAAGTTCACAGTACATCATACTGCATCCTAAACCACCTTGACAAGTCTGAATCACCTTAATGAAGAACTAAATGCAGTTTTAGAAGTTTTGTGTATATTTTTGTGGAAAAGATTTGGGTAAATATTGACTTTATTTGCCTTGTAGCTCCAGTGTAAATAGGGCAGAACTAGAGCAAATTTTGGACACCGAAATTATATGTTTTGGCTGATCGATTGCATCTGAGGTAAGTAAAAAAATAGTGTACATTTTTTGACCTAACCATTCCTTTAATATGTTTAAAAACACACAGATCATGCAAAATCATGAGTACGGTCACTTTCAGTTACAATGTTAATAGGAACCAACCCAAAGATTAATCAGAACACATTTGTATGCAATTGGCAGCTAATCATGTCTAATAATCGATTGTAAATGTGTCTCAACATGTAGACAATCCAGAAGGAGCAGCTTCTACCAAGTTAGTTTCTCTATATTCTGGCGATTACTGCAGTGCCACAGATTCAGCATCTCAAACATCAACAGCATTTGTTCTGTTTATGCTTTCATGTAAAAACCAAACTTACAGAATCACTGCACCACAAACATATTCCACCGTCCTTTTTAAAAAAGTGAGTAAACAGGTTTTCTTATGGCACCGACAATATTTGTGTTGTTTATGCTAGATTATCTGCTCAGAAAAAACATGTAATTTACTTGATTCAAATGTGAACATCAGTTATTCAACAATTATAGCCAAAAAATTGTACATCCAAAACTACACACACTGAAAGACGAAGTTATGTTGATGTAAGATACTTTATGTGAAAATAAATGCACCAAATGAAACACATAACTGTTTTCAGTGTGGTGTGATAGGGCTGTATGGGCTTGTTTGGGTTAGGCTATGTTTTGGCTTGTTCGGATGGCCTATAGTGTGATGTAATAGGTCCCCACCCCACCCCTCTCCTGGCCCCGTGTGGCTAGCTGTGCTCCCCTCCCCCGCTCCTCCACATCACCACAGCCTTTTGGAGTAGCCATATTCTCCCCTGATGTCCGGTAACCCTATAGCACCATACGACCCCTCAAGCCCAGCTGCTGGGTTCAGTCATTGCCGTGCAGGCCGGTCAATCAGAATGATTCTCACAGATCGTACTGAGCTGTGTCTACGTGACAGAAAACCACAAGGCCCAGGTGACTTAGATGCTCATGCTACACATTGTTGACCACTGGCCACTCCTAGTTACGCTGAGAGATGTTTTATGTAAGGCTTTTGTCCCGCTTCTCAAAAAATCAATACAATTCCAATGTTGCAAACCTTTAAAACGATATAGGCCCAAATAACAGTTTGTTCAACAAAATCAGCATTTCGTAACTGTTTTAATCCATTAGTACAGTAACTTTGTTTTTGGTTATTGTTCTTGTACATTTTCTGTAACCATTTCTACCTCATTTTTTTGCGACATATTGTACATGAAAGTATTTATTTCATGTCTTTTTTGATGTCTGTTTTAAAAAATGATAATGTTCTTGAACTGTAATGGTCTACCTCAGAAAAGACTGTATTTTAAGAGAAAAGTATCACACAATATTAAAGAGAATATGTCAACGTTGTGACTCAGCTTTATTTCTCATGCTCTTTGTGGTTGTGGGGCTGATGTTGCTCCACTTGGCAGCTTACCAAGATAAACTGCCTAACATCACTCTTCACTCATATCCTCTACTGACCTCAGTGTATAGGGCAGCTGGGTGACGTAGATTCATTAGTAGATGATTGATTCAAAACAGGTAAAAAAATTCAGGACCTCCGGTGATCTAGTTGGGTTAATAGTAAAGTAAAAACTTATAATATTAATAATGGTAGAGATCCATATTGTAGTTTGGGCATCTGACTATATAACAGAGTCATACGGCTCTGTTATATAGATTGTTTGTTTAGTGCATTAATTGTGATTGAAACTGCCTTAACTTTACTGCTGCTCTTTTTATTTGTTTATTATTTTTCACAAAGATTCTCTGGCTTTTGGCAAAGCAGGTTGCTCCACAGCAGGCAAAGATAGTTATCTATTTATGGTTTTGAGAAGGGCCATTTCTTTAAAGAGGAATTCCACCAATTTCTCAAAACTTCTGCATAATTAAATCACTAAAATATGAACAAAATCATTCAGAGTGGTTTGATGAGCAATGTTCCATTATAGAGAAACTTACATGGTCAGAACTGTGGTGATAGGAACCAGACGTTTGAAGTAATTAATTCCTTTAAAAGCTACATCACTGAAAGTAGATATGTTAAATGGTTATAAATATGCTACCTGATACCTGGGACATTAATTTATGATATAGTTTTGAGACAAAATTTAAAATTCATTCATGTTAGGTTGGAACATAAAGGGCATTGTAAATCAAAACAGTCCCTGCCACTATTTTACTATTAATATATAATCATTACATATAAAACTCAGAATACACATTGCAACCCCTGGTTCCGATCACCACCACTGTAAAGAAATCGGAGCAAGTTTCTCTGTAGTGCCCCACTCTCAGTGATTGAATCATGCAGAAAACTCTCTTCTGTAATAAACCTCACTATTGTTAGGAAAAAGGCAGATAAAATTCCATACTTTATATCAGTGGTTACTCATACAATATTGGTAGTGTGAACACATATAAAGCTGTTCACAGCAACCACCTGACTCAAAAAGTCTTCCTAGTCCCAATATAAAACAGTGAAGAAGGCCTATAAATCTTATTAGATTTCTCCCTTGATTGTTAGATTAAACTGATGAGTTATTCCTTGCTGAAGATTAACAGAGAGCTATGAACAGTTCTGCTAGACTCACTTTGAAGGCTAAATGTTCTCAGTCTGCTTAAATAATGTCATAAGTGCTCTAATTCAATAACAAACTCTTCTTTTAAAGGATGACTAAGAGTGTGAGTAGAAGACACCAAATCCGAGTCAGTTCAGAAGCAAAGCCTGGTCATTGACCTTCGTCAGTAGAGGGAACCATTTCAGACATTTTTGTGTTATTTGTGATTAAACAAATTCTGAATATTGTGTGTGTGGTTGTCGGAGCAGTTATTCTTGTGTTAAGGGTTTTGAAAAGAATATGATGCGAGGTGGATTCTGTAAGATTTCAACCCTTTGCAAGGCTAACAACTGTACAACCGTACAAAATAAAAAATGCTACTTGGCAGTTGCAAGCTTGAAATGTCCACGTTTAAGCTGGATCTACCATTAAAAATAAACAGAAGATACTGCTAGCTTGGTGCTAATATAAAGGCAAACCTAACAGAGAAATTAGCATCATTGCAACGTATACAAGGGCTATTTATATGTTACATATACAATATCTTGATGTTCTGTCCTTTAGATATTGATTTAGCAGTTAAAGAACAGGGATCAACACTTCGGATGAATGGCACAAACTGCCACTTCCAGCATGTTCTGGTGATGTTTCTCCTGAAACCCTCTATTCTTTATTGAACAGAGGCCTTGCAGTTAGGCAAAGCTCTCATCTGCTTGGAGAGTACAGAGCAGCTAATACATAAAACCGTGTTGCTGACAAGTGTATGCAAACATATAATCTGATTATGTTCACAATTTATAGGTCTGCCTCTGTGCACAGTATTCTTAGTAAGACTACACAACATTTTGTGTTGGTGTGAAGTGTAAATCGTCTGAGTATTTCAGCTCTAACTGTAGTAAGTGATTATGTGCATGCTAAGCCTTGGTGAGACCCTGCTGAGCTATTTTCTCCTTTGTGCAGTATCGCTCAGTGATTTAAAGAGCATAGCTTTCAATACGACACTGCAAAATGACGATGAGCAGCCCCAGAGTTTACATGTGTCAATGAACACATTTAAAATAGAAAACTTATTATATCTAGTTTATTCAAAATGGAAATTCTGCAGATCAGTTCAGTTGAAGCATAAATGACCATTTGCAAAATTCTGCCAAGCGGCACCTCTTTCAGTTACGGTTGATACGTTCATTAAAGCAAAAATGGATTCTGGAAACCATATCTACATTACTCAAACTAGGCAAATCTTCTAGCCACTGGATGTTAAAGTGACAGGTTTTTATGTCTAAAGCAAGGAGATTTGAACAACAGAAGGTACCCTTGTAGATGAACTAATGCTAAAGCTACCGCTACAGCTAACACTGGAGCTAGTCAGAGAAATGCTAGATGCTGAGGAGCACTTTTAGCAAACTTTAATCTGATTTATCAAGCAAACCGTCAGCAGCTACTTATAAAAAGCTCACTAAGTTAGCTAGCTAACTGATATCTTTTTGTGTAACATTATTTATCATTAGATATTACATTAAAAACAGTGTTAGCAAAAACAGTAACCCAGAGCCAGCATTAGCCAGCATTTTGCCATTGAGCTGTGAATGTGGTCTTCCACATAGATTAATCCAAGACTTCTTCAGCTACAGGAGTGGAAATAGAAACAGAACCACCCTTCAAATGATGAGAATAAGGTTTGTTTGAATGAAATCTTCCTTAGTATCAGCTTTTCACATCTCTTAGTCTAACAATTCTAATTTACATTCTCACTGCAGGTTTGTTATGAGGAGTTCTAGCAGAGTTTTTCCTTCATTTGATGGAGGAAGTAGGGCTGAGACGACTGTGATTGGCTGAGGAGCGTGTCAGTCATTATTTTGCAAATGATCTGTAGCCTCATAGTGAGCCATTTGCATGAAAAAGCACAATTAGAAACAGGATCAGGATCTCATTTTATTAGCCAAGCACATTTGTTTGTACAAAAAGAATGGGTGCTTCCAAAAATGAACAAAACAGAACTGTAAACAAATAATACCACATTTTCCACAATATGTAAACTAAATGCTCATCATTAATTGATCTATTTATGCTCTGCATAAATGTCTTTATAACTAATTGAAATTAGTAGGTTGGGAAAAAAAAACAAAAAAAGAAAGAAGCAGCATAAATAAATATGATTTTGAAATTAATAACAGTACAAATGTAGGTATAATGATTAAAAAACTGGGTTGTACGCTACAGTTCCTCATAAGTTGAACAACGTTTTTGTCAAAGTTCCATAAAGCTTGTCCAACTTTTGCAAGCAACAATTGCTAGGAAAGAATGCATCTATGAGCCGAGTCGAGCCTGGATAGGTGCCGCATCTTCTACATCTACACCATAACCTCTTTTACAATGGCAACCACTCGTGAAGAATGTGACCAGGTCAGTTTGAACTCGATCTCTGGACTGGGGCACAAGCTAAATTCATTCAAGCTTGTTCATATTCATCCATTTCAGAGGAAACTACAAATGAATGGAGTTTTAATTTCAGTGAATGACTGAAATGAATGGAGGATCAGCATTTATCAGTACAGAACATAAAAGAGAGAAATTCCATGCCGTTTATAACTCGGCTAGGTTTGCTTCATGTAACAAGAATGTAGCTGCATTGCATCTGTAACATTCATTATACTTTCATTAGTCTGTAAAACTAGCATAAGCATGCACTTTCTTCCCTGCTACTTTAGATTACATCGCTTGAATGGTTGCGACATAGGGCTTAGCCTACACTTCTTCTCAAGCTAATTATTCTTTGTATGTGCCTACAGCTGTGCACATTTCTCCATTTTTTTAAGTAACTACTTGCCTGTGCTCTTTTATCACATACCTTCATTTACTAATCTTTATCAACTGTGCTACGAATACTTGATCTATTTTAAAAGAAGAAATGAGATTCCATGGAATGCTTTGCTAACATTTCCATGCTAAGCTAAATGCAAAATACATTAGCTTTCCTTCAGTATCTTCCATACTGCTTAACCACTGACTTTGCATTGCTAGCACTAGTTTTTGCCTAACAATATTTTCATTTAGAAGACTTTAGCACTGTGCATTACACCTTACAGGACCTCAACATGTTGAATGCATTGTACCTCAGAGAGGACCAAGCCTTTAGGCCTATCACAGTGAGCAAAACCAGGGAATTCATGGCTACTTTAGCTAGCATTCAGCTTTAGTGGTGTTGCATAACCAGGAACCGATCTTTGGCTGTACTTCTGCATATAGGTGCTCTTGTCTCTGCCTCTCCATTGTCCTGTCTAGCCTTGATACTGACAAGGTTGACATCAGAGGAGAGCCCTGACACCGGGTGAGTTAGGGCTGCCAGCTGGTAGCAATCAAGTCTATTTTGAAGTCAGGGACACATGGACCCCCAGGGCCAAAGCCGTAACTAGCCCAACCTGTAGCCCCCTCTCCCCCAAACCTCTAGTTACCCAGTCTTGTGGTATTGATTCCAGATGTGCTAAACCCTCAGTAAAGGGACTTTACCTAAGAGGACCCTGAAATAATCCCAGCTTCACAAGCTCTTACGAAGGGACCTAAGAATGCAGTGGATACTTCAGCAGTATAAATAAGCTTACTCCTGCCCACTTCTTTGGATTGGTAGAGAATACCAAAGGGTCAGAGCCTGTTTTGACAAAAATTTATTCTTTGCAAATTGACACAGACGCAACAAGATTTCATTCCTTTTTCCTTTAGTAATTTTGGATCATTTCTATTGGTCCATTTATCATGAGATGTTTACACAGTGTAAAGAGTAGCTGGCATTTTCAAATGGTGTGGA